GAGGGAGGGCAGGGATCGTGTCTCTTTTACTCACTATATTTGCAGTGCCTCGTATAGGGCCTGGCAGATTTTAGGCTCTTAATCTACAGTAGTGAATGGATGAATACATTTTAAGTCTTAAGGTTGAGTTCTGACTCTTTATTACTCTCTCAATGACTGCAGGCAGGTTTCTTGACTAAGCCTCAGTTTTCTCATTTCTAAAATAGGTATAAATGAATTATATCTGCTGAACAGGGTTTGGGAATAATTAAATGATATTTATCTTAGAAAACATTTTTGTGAAGTGTGAGATGTTCTAATCAGACTAACTTTGGCTTTCCTTCTCACATGTGGTAGATAATTATGTGTTTAACAAGGAGCATCCTCCAGATTTAGGCTATTGGTTGTCAGAGTCTATTTAAAGAATCATCCCTACCAGGCTGTCCAGCTAAAGTTATAGCCACTGTTGAGTATTTCTTAGCTTTTAGCTACCTAAGCAGTGAGAGCAGTCAGTTTCAGATGACAGCTTGCTTGTTGACAGCGAACAGTCTCTAAGAAAGGAAATAAAATTTCCCTTTGCAGAGCAACCTGGGTTTGGAATCCATTCTGCACAAGATGTCTACCTGTCACTTCTGAAAGGAAAAGAGAACTATGCCACAGCTGCTATTACCAGAAGAAAAGCTGAGACTTAATAAATTGCCAAAACTCCATGTTGTTATTTTAAGTTACTTGCCAAGGTACTATAACTTGAAAAAGGAACGATGCACATATTTATTGCTAATGCTGGGAAAATTGCCATTAAGGCAGTTGGCAGAACGGCTGACATTTTAACAGTCATAGGTCAGATAATCTTCTACGTCTATCCAAGAGAAGATTTGACCAAGGATTGATAAAAAGAAAATCAAACGATTATGTTGACTTGGCTACATCTAAATGGCTCATTTTCGGCTTACAGGAAAGATTGCTATGGAAGCAATCTTTGACGTTGCAACAGAGTGGCAGTAAATTGCTTGAATAACTGTTGGAACTTCAAATTTAAAAACAAAGGAAGGGTCACTGTCTGAGGGAGAACTCCAGGAGGATTTTTCACTTGAGTTTTGCTCCTCATATGATGTTTATGGCTCAAATTTTACATTAAGGCATGTTTTAAATCACCATTTACTCAGTTTTACAAAAAAAGATTAGCTTATAGGTCACAAGGAAAATCAGTGGCAGAACTGAAAACTGAATTCTAGAACGTTAGTCTCCAACATTTCCAACGCTGTTAGAAACAAGTACTAAGTTTTCTTTATTCTCTCAAAGGCAAAATAAAGAATGTATAGTAGGCTTGAAAGTTGGAGATGATAAAGCACTTTTTATGGTTTCCAGTAGACCAAATTCTTTTCACACTCTTAAGTTTCTTTTATTTTGAATTTAGTTGTGTAAATCAGCCCATTGCTGATAAACACAAATTAATATTAGTCCTGAGATCAGCATTTCTCTTATTACAAATTTAGCTGTATAAATCAGTCTTTTGCCAATAAACATAAATTTATATTAGTTCTAGGATCAACATTTTGAGAAGGGATAAAGTAGGGATTGTCTGAGCATTTTTAAAAGAATGTTGGTCTAAAATAGCCAGTAGAATAAAAATACATTGTACAAACTAAAATAGGGCAAAAGAGCTACAGTGCAGTGCATGGACTAAAATAACTAGCAGTTCAAATGAGTCCAAGTGCTAAATATGTAATTATCTTTCCGACTACCTTATATGTACAAGAGCTGTTTTAATTTTTTAAATCTCACATTTCACTCCTTTTGTTGTTGTTTTCAAAAATACACATTTGTTTGTGTATTTTTCACATCTTTGCTCAATTGTTACCTTGTCAGACTCCTCCGTGAAGGAGCTAAATCCCTACCGTTTGAGACTTTTGGGCAAAGGAGGAACATAATCTGATGAGTGTGTTGAAAAGACCTCTCTGCCTGTGGTGATGGGAATCAACTGCAAGTGAGCAAGGGCAGAAGCAGTTAGGGGTAGTTGCAGTCATCCAGGCTGGAGATAATAATGGCTCAGATCAGGTGGTTGTGGAGGGGGTGAGAAGTGGCTGGACTGAGGATAGAAATTGACAGTGGAGTCAGTAGGATTTGCTGCCATTTGGAATGTGGAAGCAAGAGAAAGATAGGAATCAAGGATGACGCTGAAGTTTGTGGCCTGAGAGACAGAAAGAATGAAATTGCCATTCACTGAAATGAGGCATAAATATCAAAGGAAAAGCACAAAATCAGGATTTTGGTTTTCATCGTGGTAGTTGGATAAATGAAACCCAAATTAGGAAGAGGTCTGGGATGGAGATAAAATAGTTGGGAATCATCAGCATATAAATGGTATTTCAGGTCAAGAACCTGAATGAGCTCACCTGGGGGAGTGTAGATAAAGAAAAGAGGTCTTGGGGTTAAGCGCTGTACACTTCAGCGTTTAGAGGTTGGGGAGACCAGAGGGAGGGCCAGTGGAGAAGCAGAGAAGAGCCAAGAGAGACTGGGATCCTGGAAGTCAAGTAAAGAATGTTCCAGGAAAAAAGTGATCAGCTATGTCGGAATGCGGCTGATAGAACAGTGATAAGATGAGGACTGAGAAATGACCATTGGATTTGGCAGTGGTGTGGTCATTGGTGACCTTGATGAGCTGTTTTGGTAGAGAGGTGTGGAGGAAAGGCTGACTGGGAGAGGGTTCTGGAGAGAATAATAAAAGAGGAAATGTAGACCTCGAATATAGACTAATTCTTTACAGGAGATTATTTTGTAAAGTAGAACAGAGAAATGAGATGGGACCTGAAGAGGGATATGAAATCAAGAAAGACCTTTTTAATGATGTTTGCATGCTGATGGGAGTGAGTGGGTAAACAGGAAAAAATAGAGAATATAGGAGAAGGAATGGAGGCAATTGTTGGGAACGTGTATTCTTTTGTGAGTGTTCCTCCCTCTATAGTACTGTGTGCAGCACTAAAGGAAGACGTTTCTGTTCTTCCCAAACTCCTACTGAGCTAGATGCTCCTCTTATAAGTTCCCATATAACTCTGTTGCTCCTATACTTAACCCTTTCAAAGTATGACTTCTTGCACTTAGGGCCAAAGAATCACACCTCACAGGATATGTTAGTCCCCTAGGAGCTTAACATTACGCTAAAACCACATCTTTCTAGCCATTTTGGACTATAACAGAAGGTAAGAATTTTATTAGGATCTTTCACAAACCTCCTCCCATCCACGATGACGAGCTGTTTATAGATCCTTAAGTGGCTCTTAACTATTCTCTCAAGTGTTGAGTTGCAAGTAGCCTGCACGATTGGGGTTCCGTACTATGTCAAGAATGATTCTGAGGTTTCTGGTCTGAGAGACTGAAAGAATGGAATTACCATTTACTGAAATGAGGAACAAATATCAAAGGAAGAGCACAGCCGCTCAGCTCTCAGGAGTATCGCTGTTTCTCACCGTTGGCATTCCTGGTGACCCAGTGACTGCTGGGACCTCAGCTTTGATTCTGTCCATTTGGTTCTCTCTTTTCTGCCTTTTTTGTCATGGGGTTAGGCTTGTGGTGATGAAGAAGTGCTCTGTCCTTAGCCAGAGGTTGATGTAAGTTAAAAGATGTTGTAAGCAGTAAAACAACACACAACTATGCAGATTGTACTTAGCATTTTTATCTTTTGAGCTCAAGGTTTATATTTCTGTTTGCATTTTCAAGGTTTTAGGTCAGAGTTTTAAAATTAGGGCCAGGACCTTGAAGCCAGTTGCTTGGGTGTTTGTAGAGAGGAGTGGTGGCTCTTGTGGAATCTTCTGTAAGAGGTGTGCATGCCTCCTTATGTGCGTTCGTCCACCCATCCATAAAAACTATTTGTAAATGCCTGCTATGTTTAAAGATGCGTTAGGGAGTTTAGGGTGCTCATTTTTTTAAGGGGGGTAGACAGTGGAGATTCAGAGAGCTGTCTAGTGGTCATAATATGAAAAAGGTGGAGACCCACTCTTTAGAGTAGCTCTAGATCATCCCCAGAGTTCTTTATTCAAACAGAATTTCGTAATGAAACCCAAGATGTCAAAATCCCAAGCTGCACTGCAGGCTTGCTGTCAGAGAGGCTGGAAGACCCAGGACCCCACCAGCTCAGCACCCCTCTTTGTTGCCTTTGCAGAGGTTTCTTAGAACCCCTAGGTGTCTGCATAGCCCAGTTGGAAAAACCCCTCCTCTAGACTATGCCAAAGTTTTTTAAAAAAATGTGATTCCTTAGCCTTTCCCATCATAAAAAAGAAAAAGTATTGTTATGATTTCCCATCATCATAAATTGAGAGGGAAACTTTTTTCTTTTACATGAGTTTTCTCTCTTAGAAAAAAATAGAAGCTATTTTTTAAGCTTAGTTAAATGTTTTAAATCACCAAACCTCTGCACGTCTTTCCTATAGAGACTAGTGCATGGAAAGAATTACTGAAAAATTTTAGTTGATGATCATAATATTAGCAGATTGTCAAGTGATTGGAGTCTTATTTGGGGTACCCACTGATGTACTGCTTCATATGCGTGGGTCGAAGTTTGACCTTTGTTTTTACTTCCAGACATACTATAAAGGATGGTGATTTATGTCATTAGCTTATGGGTTATAAATATTAGTGAAGTGGTCTGAATGCTTTAGTAAAGTCAGATGAATCGAATGGGCAGGTCTGTGCCTATTGTTTGGATTAAAAAAAATCACACATTCATATATTCTTTTCATCCTTTTAAAAAACAAAAAGGTAATACTACTGCATTATAATTCTATTGCACATTTAAAATGCAGATTTAAAAAATTCTAATTGTGCTTTTTAGTAACTAATAATTTAATAGTGCTTTTTGATCCTCCCCTACTTTTTCAACCTTCTTTTCTTGCTTGATGTTAGGAAACCCAAATTGAAGATACCTGCAGTTCAAACAGGTTGAACTTGTGGCCTTGGCTGTAATTGTCACTTCACAATCTATTTTTTATTTTAATCTTATTATTAAACCTTTTTGTTCCCTGCAGACTGGTGAATTTTCAGCTCGTTTCCTTTTGAAGTTGCCAGTGGATTTCAGCAATATTCCCACATACCTGCTCAAGGTAAAAGCGTATGATTATCAGTGTGAGAATGTAAATGAGCTTTTTAAGTCATTATTTAACTCTGAATGTGTGCGTGGTTTGCCAGCATTTTGTTCAGATGATGAATTCTATTAAAAAATATATTACCTGAAGATCCACTGAGTTACTGTTACCTAAAAGCTAAAATAGTAGCCCTAAAAGTCATTTCAAAATGGATTTTTCCTTATAAGACAAAATTAGTAAAAGCAAATTAAACATTGGAAAAACACCTGCCTTTGGTTAATAATCTTTTGGGGATGAAAGACTCTCTTAGAAATTATCTTAACATGCATTCTGTCTTTAAGTAGGATTGCGTATTAACTATGCTGTACTAAAGGATGTTTCATTTTCTTTATTTATGTCGCAGTTGATCCCGGGTACCTTGAAAGTTGGACTGTCCTGGAGAGACCTAGAATTGAGTTAGGCCAGTGTATATGGCATTCTTTAAAATATGACGCAGGCAACTTGTGGCTTGGGTGCAGCTACTTTGGGAAGGGGTCTGCAAAATGCTTTGTAGAGGAAATCCAGATCCACACTAGGCTGCGGTTAGTGTGAAAAAAGCCTAAATGGACCAGGGAACCAGCAAGTTCTGAACAGGAAGCCTTAAGACAAAGGCCTAAGTTTATCATAGATGTAGATTTGGGTCGTGATTTAAGGTGTCGCCTCAGCCATCTTCCGCCTATGGTGATATAGCTTTGCTCTAATGTAAGAAAAATTTCTGCCTTCCAAATTTGATGTTGTTCAGAGAGTTAATGGCATTTATTACAGTGTAGTGAGAAGATAAAAATCCGTGTGCAAGTGTTCCTGCATATTATAGTAGTCATAAATAACATTAGATCTTAATCTTGATAATGACTGGAAATACAGTATAGTCTGGAATATAAACTGTAGACCATAGGAAAGATTAGGGAACACTTTTTTTTTTTTAAACATTCTATCCAAGGGACTTATTAGTTTCTTTTCCCCTAAGTAGAACATGGGATTTTTGTGCCTCATTAAACTTTCATTTTTAGTTTCTAGTTGACTGTTTTCCCACTGTGTATCCAAGAGTTGTGACCTGTGATTACCAAGCATAATTAATTTGGTTTTAGCAATTACTTTGCTCTATTAGCATAGCAAGCCAGTCTCTTTGGAAACTCTTAGATCACAGACTCATTGACCTCTATATGTCCAGGTAAAACTCTATTTCTGCTCATTTAAAACAAAATTCAGTAGTATATGAGAGTATATTATTCATATAATCACTTTAATCCATAATTTACAGTTATAGTTCCTTTGTTTTGATCTGTTGGGCCTTTTCAGTTTGAATGGCTGTCCTGTTTGTTTGAACTTAGTGTTGTCTCTGCTCATGTTCTTGAAGGTCAAAGGAAAAAACATACTTCTTGGATCATAATCTATGTATTTTTTCCTCTTCAAAACCAAATTTCCATATTTTCTATTCTAAGACTTCTAACTTGATTTCTATTCTAACTTCTAACTGTTTTGCCCTAACTTTCCTTGCCAGTCAGATAGGAAAAAGGTGGAACCTATTTGGCAGAATTGGGAACCTCTTTGGCAGAATTGGAAAGCATTTTTCCCTTCCCAAAGTACAATGAAGTGATTTTTCTACTATAGATTAAATGCCTACCTTGCAGCACTAATGTCTTTCTGGATCTTTAGTTCCTGCAGAGAGTAAAAAATACAACAAGGATAAAAAAAGAGAAACTCTTATATAACACAAAACAACGGCAAAAAAATACCTACCTGCATACCAGAAGTAATCCAGAATACCTACTGAGGGTGTTAAGATCTAAGTTCCTAAAGTTGTTGTATCATAATCTTGGGACATTTGGCTATATGCTTAAAACTAAGTTTGCATTAGGAACTGTTCTACATGTTATTTGCATTTGGATGCTCCTGATCTAATTACCTGCCTGCTGTCTGATAGTCTAAGTCCAAAAGTAACTTCGTCAAATTCCTAGGGTTAGGATACTCTTCACAACATCAATGTAGTTTTGCCTCACCATCTCAAAGAAATGAAAGGTAAAGTAGAACTTTTAAGTATTGAGATATCATGGAGTTTGACTACATATCCTACCAATTTGCGACCGTGAAATTTTATCACCCTATGATGAAGCCATCATTCACTCATAAGTTTATATTTCCAAGTGTACATGTTTTATCCACCAATGAAATTTGTTGATGTTAGAATGAAAAATCCATTAAGTATTCAGTGATATGATTTTGCCTTATACTATACTCCAAGCATATATGGTTCTTTTTTTTTTTTGGCTGCGCTGGGTCTTTGTTGCTGCGTGTGGGCTTTCTCTAGTTGTGGTGAGTGGGGACTGCTCTTCATTGTAGTGCATGGGCTTCTTGTTTCGGTGGCTTCTCCTGTTGCGGAGCACGGGCTCTAGACGTGATGGCTTCAATAGTTGTGGCACGTGGGCTCACGAGTTGTGGCTCGCGGGCTCTAGAGCACAGGCTCAGTAGTTGTGGCACACAGGCTTAGTTGCTTCGCAGCATGTGGGATCTTCCCGGACCAGGGCTCGAACCCGTGTCCCCTGCATTGGCAGGCAGATTCTTAACCACTGTGCCACCACGGAAGTCCACGTATATGGTTGTTACATGGGATAGAATGAATTTATTCTGAAAATGAGTCCTGACTTTAGTGTCTGAGTTTTATTTTTAGTTGTGGTAAGTCAAAGGGTTAGATAAATCATTGACATAAAAACTCAGTCAGTAAAAAAAAAACAAAAAACTTCTGTATTAATTAGGATTCTTTATTTCTGGGTGATAGGACTGCAGCTCAAACTAGTATAAATGAAATGGGAAATGTGGTACAAATCCTCTGCTTCCATAGTCCATGTAGCAGGCAATAAATTACAGGTAGGCATAGACTGACTTTCCCATGTCTGTCCTACTTGGGCCCAGGGGTGCACCCCTGAACTTCTCAACTGAAGAGAATACGCTCCATCCATGTTGTTGCAAATGGCAAAATTTCATTCTTTTTTATGACTGAGTAATATTCCATTGTATATAAGTACATCTTATTTATCCATTCATCTGTTGATGGACATTTAGGTTGCTTCCATATCTTGGGTATTATAACTAGTGCTGCTATGAGCATGGGGGTGCATGTATCTTTTTGAATTAGTGTTTTTGTTTTCTTTGCATAAATACCCAGGAGTGGAATTGCTGGATCATGTGGTAGTTCTATTTTTAGTTGTCTGAGCCACCTCCATACTGTTTTCCACAGTGGCTGCACCAATTTACATTCCCACCAACAGTGTACCAGGGTTCCCTTTCCTCTGCAGCTTTGCCAACATTTGTTGTTTGTGACCTTTTTGATGATAGCCATTCTGACAGGTGTGAGGTAATATCTCATTGTGGTTTTGATTTGCATTTCTCTGATGATTATTGATGTTGAACATATTTTCACGTGCCTGTTGGCCAAAGGTATGTTTTGTTTTGTTTTGTTTTTTGGAAAATGTTTATTTTAATTCTGCCCATTTTAAAATCGGTTGTTTATTTATTTATTTTTTTAAAAAAAATTTTCATTGAAGTATAGTTGATTTACAATATTGTGTGTACAGCAAAGTGATTCAGTTATACATACATATATTCTTCTTCAGATTCTTTTCCATTGTAGGTTATTATAAGATACTGAATATAGTTTCCTTTACTATACAGTAGGTCCTTATTGTTTATCTATTTTATGTATAGTAATGTGTATCTGTTAATCCCAAACTCCTAATTTATTCCCGCCCCACCCCCATTCCCCTTTGGTAACCATAAGTTTGTTTTCTATGTCTGTGAGTCTATATCTCTTTTGTAAATAAGTTCATTTTTATCATTTTTTTTAGATTCCACATATAAGTGATATCATATGATATTTGTCTTTGTCTGACTTACTTCATTTAGTATGATAATCTCTAGGTCCATCCATGTTGCTGCAGATGGCATTATTTCATTCTTTTTTATAGCTGAGTAATTTCGAATTAGAGTTTTCATCTTTTCCAGATACATGCCCAGCAGTGGGATTGCTGAATCATATGGTAACTCTACTTTTAATTTTTTAAGGGACCTCCGTAATGTTCTCCACAGTGGCTGCACCAATTTACATTCCCACCAACAGTGTAGGCAGGTTCTTTTTTCTCCACACCCTCTCCAGTGTTTATTTTTTGTAGACTTTTTGATGATGGCCATTCTGACTGGTGTGAGGTGATACCTCATTGTAGTTTTGATTTATTTCTCTAATAGTTAACAATGTTGAGCATCTTTTCATGTGCCTATTGGCCATCTGTATGTCTTCTTTGGAGAAATGTCTATTTAGGTCTTCTGCCCACTTCTTGATTGGGTTGGTTTTTTTTTGATATTGAGCTGTATGAGCTGTTTGTATGGGTTGTTTATTTTTTTGACAGTGAATTGTATGAGCTATTTATATATTTTGGATAGTAACTCCTTATTGGTCATATCATTTGCAAATATTTTTTCCCATTTGGTAGGTTGCCTTTTCATTTTGTCGATGATTTCCTTTGCTGTGCAAAAGCTTTTAAGTTTAATTAGGTCCTGTTTGTTTATTTTTCCTTTTGTTTTCTCTGCCTTAGGAGACAGATCTGAAAAATATTGCTGTGATTTATGTAAAAGAGTGTCCTGCCTATGTTTTCTTCTAGGAGTTTTATGGTTTCAGAACTTACATTCAGATCTTTAATGCATTTTGAGCTTATTTTTGTATATGGTGTGAGAAAATGTTCATATTTCATTCTTTTACATGTAGCTGTCCAGTTTTCCCAGCACTGCTTATTGAAGAGATTGTCTTTTCTCCATTGTATATTCTTGCCTCCTTTGTCATAGATTATTTGACCATAGGTGTGTGGGTTTATTTCTGGGCTCTCTATTCTGTTCCATTGATCTATGCATCTGTTTTTGTGCCAGTACCATACTGTTTTGATTGCAGTAGCTTTGTGGCATAGTCTGAAGTCGGGGCATGTAATACCTCC